AATTGTAAAGAAAATATTTGTAATACATATTATATAAAAAAGACAATTTCTTTAATGTGAAAAATAGTTCTTACAAACCAGTAAGAAGAAAAATAGCTACCACCATAGGAAAATGGACAAAGGCCAAATTTTAAAATTCAAATGACTTTTAAACATATAAGATGCTCAACAGCACTCAAAATATAAGAAATGTACAGTAAAACTACAAGGATATAGCACTTTTGATTAGTCATTTGATCAGTAAGATATTTTGATAATTCACTTGGCAGATGAAGGTGAGAGGAAACACTCATCCATTGCTATAGGAGTGTATATTAATAAAATTTTTATGGAGTGCTATTAGACAATATTAATAATAAAATGCATGAACCCTTTGACCCAGCAATTCATCTTCCAAGATAATTGACAGGTATAATTGTACATGTGTGAAATGAACAAATTTACAAAGATATTCACTGTTGTGTACATGTAAATCCAAAAAAACTTGAAAAACCAAAATAGTCGTTGATAAGGGAATAGTTAAATAAATCGAGTATTTCCATAGAATGGAATAATAAGGAACAGTTAAAGATACTGAGAGATTATCTCATTATCTCTCAGTACATGTATATTATTACATGTACTGCTTATTATTACATGATCCTGATATGGAATGATGTTAAAGGTATATTGAGTGGAAAAAACCAACAGCATCTTTTGGATGCTATTACATCCTTATTTACAGCTATGTAATTGTTTATATGGTTTTATACAAATTGATTGTTTGGGAATGGATTTATGAGTAACTAGTAAAAGCATGCCTCATGAAAAGAGTAATTAGTGCTAAAAATGTCTGTTCGTGTCCTTTGCCCACTTTTTTTTTCAGACAGAGTGCCGCTCTGTCGTCCAGGGTAGAGTGCAGTGGCATCATAATAGCTCACTGCAAACTCAAACTCCTGTGCTCAAGTGATCCTCTTGCCTCAGCCTCCCGAGTAGCTGGGACTACAGGCATGTGCCACAGCGCCTGGCTAATTTTTCTATTTTTTGTAGAGAGAGGGGTCTCACTCTTCTTGCTCAGGCTGGTTTCGAACTCCTGAGCTCAAGTGATCCTCCCACCTCAGCCTCCCAGAGGGCTAGGATTACAGGTGTGAGCCACAGTGCCCAGCCTCTTTGTTCACTTTTTAATGGGGTTATTTGTCTTTTTTCTTACTGAGTTCTTTGAGTTCCTTGTAGATTCTGGATATTAGTCCTCTGTTGGATGCACAGTTTGCAAATATTGTCTCCCATTCTGCAGGCTATCTATTTACTTTGTTGATTATTTCTTTTGCTAGGCAGAAGCTTTTTAGTTTAAATAAGTACCACTTGTTTTTTTTGTTTCATTTGTTTTTGGGGTCTCGGGCATAAATTCTTTGCTTAGGCAAATGTCCAAGAGAGTTTTTCCTAGGTTTTCATAGTAGTCATCAGATAAATGCAAATTAAAATCACAATAAGATACCATCTTAGTCCAGTTAGAATGACTACTAAAACGTGAAAAAAAAAAAGATGTTGGAGAAGATCTGGAAGAAGGGAACACTTATACACTGTTGGTAGGAATGTAAATTAGTACAACCTCTATGGAAACAGTATGGAAATTCCTCAAAGAATTAAAAATAGATCTACCATTTGATACAGCAATCCCACTACTGTGTATCTACTCAAAGGAAAAGAAATCATTATATCAAAAAGATAACTACACACGTATGTTTATCACAGCACTACTCACAATAACAAAGATATTAAATCAACCTAAGTGTTCATTAATTGATTATTGAATAAAGAAAATGTGGTACACATTACAGACACACACATACACACATACCCATGGAATACTACTCAGTCATAGAGGCCATTATCTTAAGTCAAATAACTAAGAAACAGAAAGTCTAACACCACATGTTCTCACTTATAAGTGGGAACTAATTTATGAGTACACATGGACACAGAGAGTGGAATACATTGGCCTTTGGAGACTCAGAAGGGTAGAAGGGTGGGAGAGGAGAGTGGGAGGAGAAATCACCTAACGGGTACTACGTGTACTAACCAGGTAAGGGTTATACAAAAAGCCCAGATTTCGCCACTATGCAATATATCCACGTAACATATCTACACAGGTACCCTGCAAGGAAGGGAGGGAAGGAAGGAAAGAAGGAAGGAAGGAAAGAAAAAGTGATAAATAGAAGAAAGAAAGGAAGGAAGGAAGAAAGAAAGAGGCTATGGACAAGAATGGGACAAAGAGTTTTCACTATATTCTGTTTCCCATG